AAATATTTTAATAGTTTTAACTTTCCGTAGACAAAAATATTACTTAAATTATGAAATATTTAAGTATAAATTTATGAACTTATTTAATACAATTTATAAAGTAGATTTCTAAACTTTCTTGAATTTTAAAAATAATACATGAGCATATTTCAATAATTTAATCAATTGCTTTAACATTTAACTTTCATAATAATTTGATTAATAATTTGCAATCTATGATAATTCTCCAATTAAATTACTTAAATTAGGGATTTTTATTGATGTATTGATAATAGATTTGGCAGAGGATATATTATAAAGTACGATATTATTATTCTTGAATCAAAAAGCAATTCTATTACATTTACTTTTTAACTTTTTTGGAGTTGAATTTTAATTGAAAACTTATGATGAAAAATTATTTTCTAGCCAACACAAGTAGACTTTTTAGAACATAGTGGCTATTTAATTACTGTAATTTATGGAGAGAAAAATAGAAAAGAAGAATTCCTTTATGTTTCAGGCCTTAGTAATTCTTTTTATTATTATCTATTGAAATTAAAATCAATAAGCATTACTTTATGTAGCAAAAACAATTTTATGTTTAGCTGCAAACATATCTCTTATTTTATAAAATTACTTGCTTTTATTATTTTTGCTAAGACTGGGAGTTTAAAACATAATTTATGGATTTGGAAGAAGTTCAACTGAATAAAGTAACTGAATTCTTAAAAAATCAAAATTCATAAATTTATAAAGAAAAGGATATGAATGGTGGGTTTTCCTAATCTTTTTATTTAGTTGGTTGCTATTTAATAAAATTAATTTTATTTAATTCTAAACTTTTAAAAATTTATTTTTATTTACAATATCTTATTAAAATATTTAATTTATTTTAATCTATGCATAATCATATATAATATTAATAAACAGTACATTTTATGTTGATACTATTAATCATTCCTCTTTTACTTATTTCATCATTTGACTAATTCTTCTTTTATTTTAAGATTTTTAAATAAATAATTTATATAAGAAAGATAATTACATTAATCTATTTTTATTTTAATTTTGTTTAATAACATAATAGAATTAATTAAATTTCAGCAACATCCTCCTGATTTAGAACTATTTTTTTAAGTTTAAGTCAGATTAATAGCCTATTGAACTTAAACTCCTGGTAGTTCATCTGTCTATTCATTTTTCTCTACAAATTTCAAAGCTTCTGTGGCTGCCTATGAGAAAGCCTAAAAAATATGTGAAAAATTACTTCAATAATGTTTAAATTATTCTTTGCACTTGTTTCAATAAAATATAGCCTCTTTTCATTCGCAAATTCCTATCCTTCTTATATGGAAACTTATCGCCATTTATATTATGAATATTATACTATATTTCTAAATCAACTTTATTCCCAATTAAGATTATTATCATATCCTATTTGCCTTATTATTAACACTCTTCGATCCATTTTGTAACATTTTAGAAAGATTCTCTACTTGTGATATCATAAACTACTATTGCTCCTGTTGCTGCTCTATAATATTATCTAGTCATAGCTTTATATTTTTCAGAGCCAGCAGTATCCCAAATTTATAATTTTACTTCTTTATTCCCTAATTGCAGAATTTTTGCTCCAAATTCTAATCCAATTGTAAGAAAATGTATTTCTTTAAACTAATTTTTCAAAAATTAATAACAAATGCAAGATTTCCCTACAGCTACATAATTTCATAATTCTATTACCTTAATCTCCTACTATTATAAACTTAAACAAATATTGATAGGACATTAATAATAATAGTGAAATTAATTCAATGAATTGCCATAAATCCATTTTTGTTAATCCTAATTCTATTATCAAAAATCGCCGAAATTCTATTATCAAAAATCGCCGAAATTCTATTAACAAAAAACTGCTTAAATTATAGAATCAAAAAATTCTTGATATATATTATTTATTTATATTAGAATATCAATAGAAAATGAAATCATTATAAGTGTTGCAATTTTATTAAACATAAATTTATTTCCTTAACTTGAATTAACGATTTCTTAATAAAATGCATGAACAACTTCAGACTTTATATCCTTGGCTGCGATTTAAATCTGTAATTGTGACCTTTTTACCCTAAAGTGTATATAGTAAAAATTAGATTTATAATAATAGAAAATCTAGAAAATAGCATATTTATTGCAGTCAATAAAATCACCTACTATTGTTGATATAGATTAAATACTGAGGTTTATTGCAAAGTTTAATGTTATTATGAGTTTGATTATAAATAAAGTTGCTTTTCACTCTTTTATTTTTTGCTAATTATTGTAATTGCGAGATATTTATTATTTGAAATAATCTTATAATTTAGAATAGGCCAAGATTTCCAAAAATAAAGATATTTAAAATTTAATATCGTGAAAAAAATAACAAAGTTTATTTTTCTTATTAATTTATTTGGTATGGTTAAATTAAAAAAATATTTTTATCATTTTACTTAAAAAGTTAATTATTAGGGAGAGACCTAAAGTAGAAATTGATTTGTAACATTTTGTTAGAAATAACTTTTAAAAAACAATAAATTGTAAAAATAATTCAAAAAATATAATATGTTATGAAAATGGCTTTAGATCATTTTCTAAAAGATTTACTCACCCTACATGTATTTAAGAAAATTGACTATTAAGGAGATTTACAAAACTAAATTAGATCTGATTTGGATGAGAAGGTTATTAGATTTTCTAATTCCCTAATTGAAAATTTTCCATAAAATCAATGAAATTGTTCTCAATTATTTTGAATAAAACTAATAACATATACTTAAAATTTAATTTGATTAATATTTCAAACTTGTTCGTTGCTGAAATCTATAAATCTTACTAATAGAAAGCTATAGGTAAATATTAAATTTAGCCAGCATACAGAACATTCTCTAATTAGAGTATTATTCATTCTTATAGATTGAATTGATGAATATATATAAACGTTCATTTTTTAGTATAAGATACCTGAATCTGAAAAGCTTTAATTTGATGGCAATGTAAGCAAAACCTTTAAAAATTTATACTTCTTCCTTACAAGCATGATATTTCATACAAATTTTTAACAATATCTAGACTTAAGCAAAATGTAGGTTGTTACGTGTTGAAAATAAAGGCTAAGCATGATCAAATTTAGCTGTTGCATCATCCAATTTAGCAAAATAAGTTTAATAATCTTATTCTCTTCTCAAAGTTTCCTTATCACCTTTTATTAATTTTAGGCTCCATATTTCACCATTTTATATTCTTATTTGGCATCAAAAGATTATCATTAAACTCGCCTGATCTGTTTAATTGTTAACACCAATTGAAATCCATATGAGCATCATAAAAATAAAATGAAACTTAAGAAATAAAACTGACTTATAATAAATTTGTGATAATAAAAACCTTATTTTAATTTTTAAATCTTAATTTTATAACAATAGAAACTATGCATAAATAAACTCTTATATGTGATGATTAAAATTCTGATTGAAAAAATGAACAATCATAAAAATAAATATGTAAATTTGAATAAAAATACTAGATCACAATCTTCTTAAAATAAATTAATTAAATATTTTTATTTTTAAAGCATTCTATGCATTTATTAGGTTCCATAATTAATAATTAATAGATTAGGTTTTTACCAAAATTTAGAAAGTATGAATTTAAAAAAGCCTTTCTTGAATCATGTACCTCATACCTAATAATTATTAAAGGAAACTATGTACTGAAAGATAATATGAACATAATTTATTTTGAGAATAGGCTACCAATATATAAATAGAGACCAAGTATATATGTCTAATAAACTATATCTAATTCAGTATAGGGCATATTCGATATATATAGAGTTTGTGTATCGTTTTAGATGTTACTCTATTTTAAAACATATCGGTCTTTATGGATTTCCTCTTTCAGGTGTTGTAATTTTGTATGTTTTAACATCTAACTCCAAGGTATTAATAATTTCTGTTTCTTATCACGACTTTTTTATAATAAGCCTTTTAATAGTTGGATCTATAAATATTAAATTTCTTATCTATATAAATACCCTACATTAAAATCATACTTATTTCTATAAATAATTAAGATTTCAGAATTAGACAGAGAAGCCTATTAAGAAATCTGAATGAATTGAGGTTTTAAAATGATTCAAAAATAATTGTCAATTAAAATATAAACATAATATTGCTGAATTATTTATAAATTTAATAGAGAGCACAAACTAAGTTGTTGATTGGTTTTATTCTTTATTTTTTTTATTTTGAAGATATTAAAGTAAGAAGGGGATTTTATGAAAAATATTATTTTATTTTATTTTTTGTTGATCAAAAAATTTCCTATCCTAAGTAAAAATTGAATATTTAATATGTTACATTTGAAACTCTAATTATTATGAATTAAAATGCACCTTCATCTTTTTACATAGAATGATTATAAAAAAGGAAATGATTAGAGATTAATTATGTACTATGAGATTTCGATGATGGGTTTTCAATCTGCTAAAGATAAATGAGTAAAATAAATAAGAAAAAAAATGTAGGATAGATCATATAATTAAATATAATCGTTGAGAATGCGTTTAAACAATTTCTTCAGATTCTTACCTCACAAGGAAAGAGTTTCTAGTCCACCAAAAAAAAGAAATATGAACCCATAAAAAATAATAGTTGCTCAAATGAAGAGCCAGAAATATGAAAACCTAGAGAGAAGCATATGAAAGTAGCATTAAAAATAGAATAAGGTTTATGGATTAAAAAATGCTCAAAAAACCACCTTGTTTAGCTAAAGAGAATCCATTAAAAAGATTAAGTTTTAAGGATAAGTCAAAATCAACTTTTAATCACTCAAGACGAAATAATTATTTATTAAATCATAATTTGAAACTGATTAAAACATATCTAATGTAAAATTAGGGTAATTCATCTCCCCTATATTAAAATAATAATTATGCAATGATAGAGGGAATCAGGTTCCATAGAATTATGTCAGCAAGACAGAAATATATCAAAATATCATATTTTCGAATTGCAATTGATCATAACCTACGCATAGATATGTATTTTAAAAACTAACATTCGGATGGAGAAAATTATTAAGCAATGGGACAGACTTCATCAGAAGAAATTATTCAATAATAGATAGATTAATTATATTGAATTTATTAAAAATAAAATCTTAATTTATTAGATCATATCATAACTAGATGAATTTGTTTTTGTTGCTATTATAATCTTAATTGATTGCTTTTTTAGATTTAAATAATGCTCTCAGATATTGGATTTTTTATTATTATAATATGCAATTATAAGAGAATAATAAAGAATTATTTCAAAAGGATTTAAAACAAGAGAAAAATTGTCTTCATAACATTCCAATTTTTCTATTTGTTGTTAACTTTGCCCTTATTGTTAATTTTATTTTTTAAACAATTACGTCTTATTCTTTGAATTAATTCGATATTAATTAACTTAGCCATTCTTAATACCTTTAACAAATCCTTTTCCATTGGGGAAAAATGAAAATACAAATGATTAATTAGTAATCAAGTTTATAAAATTATCTTTATCTATGTCCTATAATCTTATTGATAAATAAGTTTCTCCACTTATCACTTTTATCTCCTAATGGTGATATAGATAGCCTAAATCTTTATACTATTTTTATTGAAAAAACATTTCTCATGGTTTTTATTCACTTTCAATACCATAAATATATTAGATTGTATTGAACACTAATCGATAATGGAACAAAAGATTTACTTTAAATTATAAAATCTTGCTCTTTTTCAAAAGATAAAATTATATATCTTTGACTTAAAAAATTATGTTTATAATAGAAAATTTCAAATTAATCTTATTTGGCTTTTTTGAGTTTATGTATATTATTTTAAAGACTATTATTTAATGAATTTTAATTATTTTTTAAAATTTGTTTAGTAAATGTTTTCATAACATTATGATTTGAGGGATGTTCAAAAATTTTATAAGAACCTTGAAATGTAATTAACTCTACCATATATAACATCTATATTTAAATCATATAATAAAAGAAAAAAAAGCTTAATAATAGAATTGAAAAGTAAATTTTAGCAAACAAAAGAAAAAAAAATTTAATTAAATTTTATAATAAAATAAAAATATGAAATATGTATAATTTTAATAAATGCATATAAAAGATTTTTACATCTAAAAAGTTAGTATTCACAATTTTAATTCATTTAATCACTCTTTAATTATTTCAGAGTCTTCTTAGGTTAGGACAAGTAATAGATCTAATTAATCATATACTTCGGAATTGGAGAAATAAAAAAGATCCTTCTTCATATGGAGAAAAATAAACTAAAATCAATTAAAGAGGATAATCAAAATAAAATTTAATAATAAGACAAAAAGTCAAATCAATAATAATAATTACAATAATATTAATATTAATCGAATAAAAAATAATAAGCTAAAGAAAAAGGAAAAAAACATAAGAAAGATAAAAACCATAACCATTTCTCTACATAGACAGCAACTAGGTTAATTAATATTATGAGATTGGGTCAGAAATTTCAAAGGAAAACTAAATCATGTTAAGAACTTAGCTTTTCACTTTTTTATTATGTATCTCAATACCAAGATACAAGGTTATATGACTATTTCAGGAAAATATGCATTTTTTATTTTTTTTAATTCTATTAATTCAAAAGCATCATCCAAAACAAAATTATTATGTTTCTCTTGATTAAACCCATTTTTCTGCTATTCTGAATAAGTGAAACTTGATTATTGATTAAAATTTTTTTTGATCTTTAAAAATTATAATAAAATACATTATTATTTTTATAATTTATTTTCTTATAGTAAACATAATTTATATCAAAAATTGTATGATAATAATAAAAAATTAAATTAAATATATAATTGAAAAGATCAATTTTATGATTTGAAAAATTATTAAAGGGAAGACCTTGTGTTATAGAGACTTAATGATTCATTTTAATTTTATCAACTACTGTGAATATTTTTTTAACTTGATCTTTTAAAAATTCAATTATATGAATCGGTCACTAAAAGCTAAAAGGAAAAGTAATTGTCTAAAAAATCAAAACAAAACACAAAAAAGCTTAAAAAAATTAATAACCATTGTAAATATTATAAAATCAAAATGAAATCATTTCTCTTTATATTTTCTTATTGATATTTAATTTTTCTCATTATTCCAAATAAGCAAATATTCTCCATCATCGCTTATTGAACCACAAAAATATTCATCATAAAAATCAATTGACTCTTCTAAAATGAAATCAATCTACTATTATTCTTTTTTTTAAATGTCTTATCTTAATTTGCACTTTATAACATTTAAATTGTAACTACTTTTATTAAATATTAATCCTTTGTTAGGATTGAATATCATTGGAAAAAATTCATTACAAAATTAACCTCCTTCTTAAATCTAGACTTTTTGTTTGTTTAAAAATTTTTAAGATAAATTTTCAAATATGTATATTTCCAGATAATTGGCTGCATAAGGTTGAAATACAAAGATATCATTTGTAATAAAGCATAAACGCAAACCATCATTTGAAATTATTTATTTTAAAATCCATTAATTACATTATTATTAAAATTAATATACAAAGACTTATTGATCATTTGAGCATGATATTATTTTTTGTTAATTTTCACACATAGATACTCCATAAACTGCTCCTCTATGATCAGTTAAGTTATACAAACAAGTCCATTATTGTGGATATTGTTAAAATTAACTCCAAATTTTTATTGTTTTTCCATAGTGTCCAGTCACTACTTGATCCTCTTATTTAGAGATACACAAACAAAGTGTTGAACCTGAATTTGCATCTAACTTTTAAATGAATTTTGATTTAGCTATCATATTGATTGACTATAAATAAATTGATGAATTCTTGCATCCACATACAAAATTTTATCGTATTTTGAAAAAATTTAGAGTATTAATATTAGAAGAATTTATTTTGAATTTTTAAATAGTTTTAAAAGAGTTTTATTTGAAGTAATATATTATTATGATTGATTCTTCTGAACTGATTACTATTGAATTTTTAGTATTGATAGCCATAGCATTACATGAATTTAATGTACAATATTATTTTTAAGAAATGACTTCGTATGAGATTTTATTTTTTGAATTGATTAGATTTTCCATTAATTAATAAAAAATATTGAATTCCTTATAAATTATATAATTTCTCATTTATATTTTATAGTGTATAGAATATTAAGTTTATCAAAAATTTAGTAATATTTATCATCAAAAATATTTAGAATACACCCTTTCATTTAAAAATAAATTTTCACTGCTTTAATTATATTTAAATTTTTTATATAAGAATTTATTTTATGCATGTTTATTTAATTATATTTTATGGTGATCGTGAACTTTATTTTCAACCCAAATTATTATTGAAATTTTTAAAATGATTAATTTTATATTATTTGCGTATTGAAGAATTAATATTATACTACATGTGATTTAAAAATAATAAAAAAATTCTTTAAATATGAAAAAAATGTGTATTAAGAAAAATATTGTTACTAAAAATTTTTTGACAACTAAATCAGAAATTTATTATTTACATTAAAGTTCAAAGAAACTTTTTAAATGGTTTTTTTAGGTTTTAATTAGGAATTGCTTTTATAATTTAGCATAAATCATTTATTATATTATTATTAAAAGGATTGCCTGATTAACTGGAGGTTGGAATTGGTGATAAACCTATGATAGTTGTTAAATATTAAGGTAAATCCAAAAATATCTTTTTGAATTAATTTCTTTTATGATCCTATATAGTTTGATAAAACCACTAAATTTTATATTTTAGTAAAGTTTCAAATAATGCAATTGTGGTATTAACTTATTCCAACAAATTACAAAAATAAACTCTTGAGTAATTAGGAATTCCAGTAGCTCTAATTCTTTTATATAAAATTTTATTATGATTTATTCTATTTAATCATTTTTAATTTAAAGTTAGAATTAAAACTTATAAATAAGAAAGATAAATGAAATAAAAATTTATTTAATTAATTAAGAATAAAATGTACAGGTGATGCATAATATACATAAAGTCATAATATAAAAATATTTAATTTTTCTCATGTTCATATCAAATGAATTATCTCATCTGTAAATCTTTAAGTGCACTTATCTTGGCCATGAAAAAGAAGAAATAATTGGATTTTAAAAAAATCAGACTTGCTCATATACAAACTAATATTGTAATGAAAGTTTATGTAACACTCATTCGTATCATTTAAATAATTGTATTCGATTTGCTATAATAAGCAAATATATCATCTATTGATACAAACATAAAGAGAAAATCAAAATAATTTAAAGAAATTTAAAATGAGTTGATAATTTGTTTTGCAGAGAATTTTAAAAGATTGGATCAAAATAAAAAAATTTTAGAAAGTATGAAATAAAAACTTTAAAATAAAGAATATTTGTTATTTAAGTCGTATATTAACATTAAAAAGAAAATAAAAAATAAATCTATAATCATGAAGAGTAGAATGAATAAAAAATATAAGAATTTATTGAAAAAGTCTTAAGAATAGAATATAGAAAATTAATTAAGTTAAAGTCAATCTATTAGTGATTAAATTTAAATTAGTAATAAAATGTTTTAGAAATTGGTTGTTATTCAAAAGGATTAATCCCTAATTTCTTTTAGATTAAAAAATTAGCCTTGATGAGGAAATTGAAGACCAATAAATATTTTAGTTTTTTAGTTTTTGTTGAACTATCAACTAATACATTAATTAGTTACTAATTAGAAATTCATTTTGATAGATATTATACAGTATTTTATCAATATTAACAAAATGAAATAAACAAGCTCAATTTTTCTTCTTTTTATCTCTATTTCAATCTATCAATGATAATACACAAATTTTTATAGTTTCAAGAATTCTCTAACCAACCTATTAATGAGTTTTATTAAGAATTATCAAAAAAATGATCAAATATCAGCTCTTCGCTAAAAATAAATTATCAATATTGTTTAATGAGATGAGAAATATAATAAAATCTAATTTAAAGCTTTTGTTACAGAAAATAATATAACTCCTTTTATATTATATAACAGGTTTTTGAAGAAAAGTATCATCGATTTAAATTTGAGACAATTAAATCATGTAACTTTTAGGCTTTATTCAAAATTAAAAAAATAACGAAGATTTTGATAGAATAAATCTCCTTCTATTCAAGCTTATTCCTCTCAATAGTTAATTTCTCTATTCCTAAAAGTTTTTTATCTATTCCCAACTAAATCTTATTGATATATTTTTGGCTTTAAAATTTGAAATTATTTAGATTTAAAATTATTCTAATTCATTTAGCTTGAGATTTAAAAACATTAGATTTTAATTCTAATTTAAATTAGGGTAAATCATTTTTAATTTTCTAGGAAGCTTTATGCAAGTGCGTTTATGATATTATTTGAACTTAATTAAGGAGATAGTCTTTTTATTCATTAATTAAGTATATTATTAAAATAAATTATTTTATTATTAGTGCATAAAGATAATAATTCAAATGGAAACATAAAGTAAATTTATTACTGATAATTTTTACTTCATTCTCGTTCTCAATCATTTTGACTTCAAATTATATTTCAGATGTTAAAGACTTTTTTTAATTGATTTGATCATAAAATAATGATAAAATAATATAATGATGAAAATTAAACTTAATAAACTAAGAAGTCGAACAAGTATGAATTGATATATGGATGTACGATAAAATAGTATTAATGGTGTGGAGCAATTAGCTTTAGCTCTGATAATGAAAGAGTAGTTATTGGTTGTAAAAACAAATTAAAGATTTACTAATTTTCATCATAAATGCTGAAATTACTTTAAACTTATAATTGTCACACATTAGATGTTAATACAATAAACATTTTCAAAAAACCAAACAATATGATATCTGGAAGTGAAGATAAATAGATGATTCTTTGGTCCTTGATTAATGGAAATTCTAAAAAATATATAAATAAATAAAAAGGGAAAGATAGTTAAATATTAAGTGTTATCTTGAATGAAAGAGAAGACTAAATTATCTCTGGAAGCAGTAATATTAAAATTTGGAAACTTTAGAATGGTTGGTCATGTTTATAGACTATATCTGACCATAAAGATTTTGTTTGGGCATTGTGTATTAATTAAAATGGAAATTAACTTCTTTCAACTGGATATGATAAATTATTAATCATATTTCAATTGATAAAAGACATTAATTAGAATAAGAAATGGATTTAAATATAAAAAATTGAGGGAGATGGTTTTAGGTTATGCTGGATAAATGATTAACTCTTTACTTTTTAAAAGTATTGCAAAGAATAATTAAGTTTATATTAGAAATATAATAGTTCTTAAAATTTTAGAAAGATAAAGAATATTTATATAAATAATAATTCAACATAATGTTATGGATTTTTTCCTTAAAAATATATAAAAGAAAAAAATATACTAGTGAATAAAAATGGAAGAACAGTTAATATTTTATCAAAATAAGAAAATGAAGATTTCATTTTAGATTAGGCAATTTAGTTTAATGATTATTATATATAGGGAAATTTAAGTGATGACGGAGAGTATTTAATTACTTGGGAAGGAGGGAAAAAAGGATCGTTTGAAATTTAGATTAGAAAGTATTAAGTAATATGAATTATGATGTTTGTTTCTAAAAATCAATAATATAAAAATTATTCTCATTTTTAAATAAAATTTTAATTCATTGAAGATTAGAAATAGAAATTTTAATTATGCATTTTATATTGGAATTTTTAGAGATTATAATATTTAATTTTTTGAACAATAAGATAACTAAATTATTATGGTATAAACTTTAAATGATAAATTGAATATGATAATAATCTTTTTTTACGAATTATTTTAGATAGAAAAAAAATATGATACATTATTATAAAAAATGGACAATTTCAATTTTAAGAATCTAAATGAATCAAATTCATTATATAAATTATCTCTTCATAAAAATAGATTTATTAAAAAATGATTTTATTAACATGACTTTTGTTAATGATTTTTGGAGCAGTACTTCTAAGCAAACAAACATAAGTAATACTTTAACTGAAAGATTTCTAAGAAATAATTTTAAAGTTAAATAACTAATTTTACCTTAAATTTTTGAGCCATTTAGTTATGAATTAATCTCCTAAATTTAAAAAAGTAATAGATGTAGAGTATATCAAAAAATGATTCATTTATTTTAATTTTTATATTTTATCAAAAAGTCTCCCACTTTTTTATCTGTTGGAATGATAAGTAAATAATAATCTTGGAGGGTGAATAGCTAAATATAATGATAAAATTTACATAAATCAGAGACCTAATAGTTAAAAATTATATTATTTTATCATATCTAGTTGTAGTGATAATACTATTAAGTTTTGGGTGTAAGAAAATAAAATGAAAATTTTATTAGACATTATAAGATTATACTAGTTTTGTGATATGTTTATAATTGACATATTCTAGAATAAGTTGATAACATATGTGAATAATAGATTGAATACAATCCAAAATTTCTAAGTTTAAAATTAAGAATTTAGTTTGTGTTTCATAACAGATTAAATGTTTAAATTTTAATTTAATTTTATAAACATACTGCATTCATATCAATTAAGCACAAAATTTTAATAGTTTATTAAAATTGGTTATCAATAAGAATGTAAAAAGATAAATTTAATTATACTTTGCAGAAATAGTTAATTCAAAACAAATTAATAAAAACCTTTATTTGTAGACTATTTGATTCTATATCAAACTATAAAAATTATTTAATCTTATAAAGATATAAAAATTAGAAAATTATGAGAAGATTGATTTTTTAAATTTAAGCTTATTTTTTTTTTATTTTATGGTCTGGACGTTGTATTTACTTAATTGCTTTAGGTTATAATTCCTATTAAGTTGTTTAAAAATATATCTTGTTAAGTAATTAAATATATTACATAAATAAAATTAAATATAAGTTATAAGATTTTTTACTATTCACAAAAACATTATATCGTCTAATTTTTTTAATCTCAATTAATTGTACATATAAACATCTGGTAAATAGGATTAAATTTAGATTTTTTTTAAGTTTTATAATAACAGTCTAATTTAATTCACAAGCAAAAAAAACTCGTTGATCCATGTGATCAGCTAAAAAAAACTAAAGGCATTATGATAAAACTTATTAAATGAACTTATTATTGTGAAAATTTTTTTAGAAAAAAGGAATTGATATCAAATTATTCTGAAAAATTGAAAAAAATCTTAAAGATAGTAATGATAATTATTATTATATCATTTTTAATAATTTTTTGAATTTAAACATACTTTTTAACAGTATCTAATTTTCTTAAGCAATATGTCTATATTATATTCTGCCCACTCTCCTGTATCTTCAAGTCTATTGATTTTGCAATTATTTTAGATTGTTGTACCTACTTATTTTTTCAATTTTTCTA